CAATTTCTATTACTTCAGAATAATACAAAGTAATAATTTGATTATAAACTTTCTTAAAAATGGTAATATTAATTCATAAATGTAAATGATTTCCCCAAATTGCAATCGGTTTTACTAAATACTAATATAATAATACGAAATATTAAAACAGAATCTCTCTCCGTGTGTATTTACTTATCCCTGAATAAAAATTCTGACCGATTTTGGACTAATCCGAAATTTGTCCGCAACAGTACGGTTTATTGTGGAGTTTTTCACCCTGAATTAAGTTTAAAATCAATACCGTTTTTTATAACTATTGAATTTGTAATTAGTCCGGTTTAGTCCGAAGTTAGTCAGATCATATGCAACTAGTAAATGCAGAAGTAATCCGGTTGATTTAACCAGTGAATCCGCAGCTAATCCGAAACAGTCTGCTTATGCACGGAGAGAAAAATCAAGCGTTTGTAGTATGGAGACTTCCTATGCTAATTTTGTATGAACGTCCTGCTAAAGAGGCATGTTTTTATACCTCAGTTGCATGAAACATATACTAAAAAAGCATGGATCTCTTGCAATCGTAGTATACTGACGTCCCATGCGTTACAGGTAGAACTTTTATGCTGATAACGTAGAAATTTATACAAATACAGCAGAAGTTTTACGCATATTGCGCATGTGCATTCTTTTACGAAATAAGCTTAACTGTCCATACTACAAACGCTTGATTTTTCTCTCCGTGTGGTCAGGTTTTTGTCGCTCGGAATTAGTCCGGATAAATCAACACTCAATGCGGTTTGTGTAAAACTAGTGAATCTGGAATTAGTCCGATCTATTCCGAAGTTAGTCTGATAATACGCAACTTGCAAATGTGAAATTATTACGATTAAATCCGGAATTAATCTGGTTTTGGTCAGGTTTTTGTAATACGAAATTATAATTATATAGTTTGAATTTATCTGCATTTAATACAAATTGTTTTTTAATATACAAATTCAATATTATACCAAAATTATTCGGAATTAAGTCTTTGAATTGGATTGAATATGGATTGTTTCGGACCGTCTGTAGATTGTATATATTTGACGGGTTCCACGTCAAGTGACCCAGGTCCAAATTTTAAATGTTTGGGATCGGGTTAAAAGTTTGCACAAACAGTAGTCCTATTAGATATAATTAAAAATACCAAATATTATTGATTTATTTAAACAAATATAAAAACTGGAGGGGGTCAAAGTTTAAATTTTTGGTCTAACATGGAATATTTGAAAAATTTGTAGTTTCTTTAAAACAAAACGAAAATACATTTTCTATTTTGGGTTTTTCTGCTGTTTTTCAACACTTTCTAATGGTGTAAACAAATTTATTTATTTATTTATTTATTTATTTATTATCTTACACGGGAATTTCCCTTTCGTACAAAAGTACTTATAATAATAATGTTCTATAGTTCATACAAGATTGAAAATTCTATTTCTTAATTGATTAATGAAAGTAGTTAAAAGTACACCGTAGAAGTCAATAGTATTATGAAAGTCATTAGCCTCTCTGGACAATCTAGGAACCACCGAATTTAACATAAAATTAGTTCTGTGTATTGACTGCTTGAGTAGAGTCGGATTTCTGGGAGATTTAAAAGGAACAGTGAAATTTAATAATGATAATAAAGGTGGGCAGTTTATAATACCATTAATTATTTTGAACAAAAAAAGTAAGTCAGAAAATAGAAATCTATTACTTAAGAGTGGGATACCCAAAATCCGTCTCAACTCAGAATAGTCATGACTATATTTGTCAAACGATATTCCCGCTCGCCACGCAACAAAACGCATGAATTTATTTTGAATTCTCTCCAGTTCAATTAGTAGATAGTCTTGATAAGGTGACCAAATAAGTGAGGCGAACTCAATAATTGGTCTAACTAACGAAAAATACAAAACCTTCATTGCCAATACATTCCTGAAATGAGTCATGCTCCTGGTGACAAAGCCCAAAGTTCTGGTTGCTTTATTAATTGTTAATAAAATATGAGATTTAAACTCCAGAGATGCGTCAAATAAAACTCCCAGGTCCCGAATCGTGGAAACTTTAGTAATAATTTGGTTACCAATAGTGTAGTCATAGTTAAGTGTGCTAGAACTTCTTTTAAATGAAATAATAAAACATTTTTTGTTGTTAAAGAAAAGCTTATTTTTAAAAGACCATTCAACAAGACGATTAAGATCAGATTGTAGATTATAAAGGTCCTGAACGCATGATATTCTTTTAAAAATTTTAAGGTCATCAGCAAATAAAAGAAATGAACTGTGCTTTATTACTGTAGTTATGTCATTTATGAATAGTAAAAAAAAGAGAGGTCCAAGATTCGAACCCTGGGGCACACCAGAGGTTATCAAAAAAGGATCAGAAAAGTCTTGTTGTACGCGAACAGATGAATATCGATTATTAAGATAACTTTTTATCCATAAAATTAATTCACTAGAAAAACCCAAGGCTTCCAACTTTGCCACCAGAATGACATGATCAACTTTGTCGAAGGCTTTAGCAAAATCAGTATAGATTGTATCAACTTGAAAGCCCTTTTCAAGATTAGATGACACAAAATCAGTAAACAAAACTAAATTGGTCAACACCGACCTGCGTCTCATAAAGCCATGCTGCTCATTGATAATAAAATGTTCTACTTGATTATAAATTATGTCAAATACTAGACTCTCAAAAATTTTTGCTAAAAAACAAATGTAGAGAAAAAAAAATTTTTGACCTTGAAAAATTAAATTAAAAAATAAAATTTCATTTTTTCATCAAATGGACAGTTTTTATTTTTTTAAAAAAAATTTTATCATAAAGGTGAGGTTTTTTCCTAAAAAAATGTATAGGTCAAAACGTGGGACAAGAACTTTTAACTGGTTAAAATAAACATTTACTTCTGCAATCCACCGCCCCTGCGCGTTGTTGGGCTGTATATTGTTTATAACAATTGAAATAAATTATTTTATGCTTTATTAATTATCTGGTGGTCATATTGGATAAATTTAAATTGATTTAGATCATGTGCATCAACGGAATAAGAAAATAAACGTCCTTTTTTAAAAAAGTGTACTAATTTGTTAACTTTGATTTAAAAAAAATTATAAATAATTAAAATCCCCAAAATCGGCCTCGAAGGATGTCTTAAGAATTTATTCCCCTTTAATTTAAGACAAAGAACACTCAAATCGGTTAAAAATTGTAAGCTATAGACATTTTTTAATAGTAAATTGTAAAAAAAATTCCACTGTGGGCCGGTGCAGTGCAGATGTAAATGCTTAATTTGACCAGTTAAAAGGTCTTGTCAAACGTTTTGACCTATACATTTTTTTAGGAAAAAACCTCACCTTTATGATAAAATTTTAAAAAAATAAAATAAAAACTGCCCATTTGATAAAAAAATGAAATTTTATTTTTTAATTTAATTTTTCAAGGTCAAACAATTTTTTTTTCTCTACATTTGTTCACACTATTAGAAAATGTTGAAAAACAGCAGCAAAACCCAAAATAGAAAACGTATTTTCGTTTTGTTTTAAAGAAACTACAAATTTTTCAAACATTCCATGTAAATTTTTGACCTGGGTCACTTGACGTGGAACCCGTCATTTACAAATTTCATATTATTAAAAGACTTATTTTCGAACTGGGGTGTTTTGATCGGATATTATTCGGATTGCCGCTGACTATTACCGGATTCTTTGCATACAGATTTTGGATTGTTCCATACTTGTTTTGTATTAAAGTCGCTTATATGGTGCTGGCATCGTAGATTAATAGTGGATTTTTCATGTTTTTACATTACAAAAGTTTATATGTGTTTTTATCGAAATGACGATTTCAAATCGGTGGACAGTCTGGCTCGAACAGTTTTGATCGGATTGACTTCGGCCAAAGTGTTTCTAGTTCGTCATTTACTAAAGCTTTAGAGTACGTAGCGGATTTTTTTTGGTTTGCTTATTTATTTTTGGCAATACATTATTTGAAAAATTTTTGCCCTAAAAATCGACTTTTTTCTTCAAACAGCTGCCAAATACACAAAAATTAATATTTTAAAAATATCGACAACAAATTGAAACTTTTTAAAAGTATAAATATATTTTCTTAAAGTTAAAAAGTTAACAAATAAAGCCCTCGAAACCAAATTTTGTTTACTTTATTCCTGTGTTTAAAAAAAATTCATGAAAAACAGGTTTAAAAGACACGTCAAAGGTGTGTACCACACTAGACGGTGTTGAAGATGATATTTGACATTATTCGAGTAGGTTTTAATGCATCATGTCTAATAATGACACTAGTGGATCCTTTAATTACACTTTCATGACGGAACCAATCATCTAAGAAAATATAACATTGCTGATGCTATTTGGACAACATACCATTGTCTTGAGTGGGAAAGTAAGAAAATGTATTGCTACTTTTGTATACATCATCGAGATTGGAATTTCCAACAGATCTTGTGGCGATTTAATGAATATCAACTGAACAAGACTTACCAACCAAACACTGCAACATATGAAAATTCTGCAACATTTTAGGCTATCCGTTTTTTAAAAGTATTATTGAACGATGTAGGACGTCTATTTTTTTAGGGGGGATTTTTCCCGGATGCCCTTAAGGTTAAGATAGATTGCACCAGTTTTTATAATCAAATGAATTTGTCTGTTGGCTAGAAAAAGACAAATGTCAAACGCATTCTTTTACTGTTTTTTGAATTAGCATCTTTTTCACTGCTCAACTGTAGTGGCATGTTATTGCCCCAAAACGAAGATTTACTCAATAATGGGACACTCCGTATCATGCTCATTTTACATTAAACTATAGCTTTTTACTATCATCTAGTTAGCCATTATTTTACTACAAATTAAATTACATTTATTATGTTTAATTTATAAATTATGACTATAGTCATATTGATAGGAAAAGGTATCTTTAAATTATTAGTAAGCCCGTTTAAACATATGAATAAAAAATAATTGAATATCTGATTGCAGATTGTTCAGAGACCACCAACATTTACTGTGACACCACAACAACTCTACATGAGAAAACTCGGAGAAAATCTGGAAATTCCTTGTGATGCTAGGGATGGAGACCACAATCATCGACCTAACATCGTTTGGTTTAAAGTAAAATTCCACTAAATGATTAAAATTATCGTCTGTTTCCTTTATACCTTAGTTTCTTAGTGCAAACAATTTACATAGAAGTGGGTAATGTGATTACGTTTTGTGAAAAGTATAAATATGTAGATAGCTTATTAGATAAACTATTGCTTCATTGGCATGAAAAAATTTGTGTTTGATTGACCTAAACTGTTTGCTTAGATGAAATAAGGAATTCATTTAATTTGGTTGTGGTGATTTTCATATTTTAATATTATTCTCATTACTACATTCAATAATGGAATTAGTGCATCAATGAAAATTATTAAATTACCTTTTCTGTTTACGCTTTATTGTATACTTCTAATAAAACAGCTTTTTTGTACTACACCATTCCTTCCAAAGAACCCTATTTAAAAATTCCCTTAGAAAGATATTAGGTATCGACAATACGTGTTTTTTAAAGGATGGTTCACCTCTTTCTCCGGAAAGAGCAATAATCACTGGAGGAAATCTGACCATTGAAAAAATTCAAGAACAAGATCGTGGACTTTATCAATGTGCTGCAACTAATGAAGCTGCGACAGTTGTTGCTGATGCTGAGTTAATGGTCATAAATGTACCACCTAGAGCACCATATAATCTCAGTGCGAATACTAGTAAAAATTCAGTAACTCTTACCTGGATTCCTGGCTATATTCGTCCAAAAATGGAATATTCTATATGGTATTGAAAACAAATTAAATATTTATTTTAATGATTTATTCAAAATTACATTTATCCGTTTTTACAAGGTATCGACCAACGGATACTTCCGAATGGAGAACAATGAAAATTGTGTCCAAAAAAATAACAGAAGCTACTGTGAATAATTTGACACCTGGTCGTGAATATGAGTTTATGGTTCTTAGTCAAGACAAGCATGGTGATGGGATGTTTAGTAAAACAGTACGTGTGCTTACAGATCCAGGTACAATTGTCACTGTCATGTAATTACACAGGCTAAATGTTAATTATAGATGAATTTTTCAAAAATATTAACTATTAAAGTTTTCTAGATGCGATAAATCATAATGGAGCTTCTGAATTTCGAAGTCCTGGTAAGTTACAAATATACAATTTTCATGCAAACTTATACACTGCAAAAAGAGGTGTCTTATTTTGCAATGTACTACTGGTGAAAGTTATGCGATCCTGCACCTTCATTTTAAAGATGAGAAACATACATTCTAGAATAAGGGATGAAAATAAGTGTCGTTCTATATAATCATTTCTTGAAATCCTATCAGTCCATTGAGCATTGATATCAGTCCAAGAATATAAACAAATATTACCTAGATTCCGTAATTTTAAATAAAGAGTGCTAGTGTGCACAGAGAAAAAATATACCGTCAATCCATCGAATTAAACAAAAGGAATTTCTGCCAGTAGTGTACATATTATTGAATTGATCATTATTTTTAAATGCAATTTTCTTACTTTCTTTGGAAATAAACAAATGTCGATTTAATTGAATATGCAATTTCAGAATCAGATTTTATGGGAGCACCTCGTAATATCAGAGTACAAGCTACAGTAGAAGGTTATTTAGTTACTTGGGAGCCTCCTGTTGTTGGTCCAGAACTCGTTAGACTATATATTGTAAACTGGTTTAGAGGAACATCAGATCATCTTTATGGCAAAGCGGAAACAACGGACACGTATTACCTTGGTATAAAGATTCAAAACTTATATACAGAATTTTTTTCTCGTAATGAAAATATTTAAAATTCAAAGGACAAATCGATCAACTATAAAAAATTTAAAGTGAAGACAATATTTTAGGTTTGGATTTTGTGAAAAAATTGAGGAATGTACACTAAAAAAATCCGTAATGAAAAGAATAACTTTTATAATCAACAGATAAATGATATAAATACCAATATTGAATTTTTTTTTATTATTTTGTACACAAAATTTTTTCTTTATTTTACAGTGAAGAATTTAGAAGAGGATAGTTATTATTCGTTCGAGGTGTCTGCAATGTCATTAACAGATGACATCTTGACCAGTGAACGTTTCACAATGGAAATTCCTGGATATCAAAAAAGTTCTCGTAATAGAGCAATTTCAATGGGAATTGTAGCAAGTCTTGGTTTTTTAGCTGCAGCCCTCGCAGCCGTTTGGTGGGCAAAAAGAAGATTTTGCCATTCACAAACTAATGAAAAGTAAACAGTTTTAAAAATCAACTATTGATAATAATTAATGTACATCTTTTTAGAAAAAAGACTTGGAAATTGTAATAATCTGTTTATTTTATTAATATTACATTCAAAAACATAAGAAATTTTTATTTGTCTTTTAAAACATCATACCGTTTTATCATTATTTTTAACAAAGGAATAAGAATGCCAGGAAGTATTTTTATTTATTCAAAATACAACTATACTACTTTTTGGAATAACCTTTTAGTAAGGGAGAGTGGGGCAAACCGGCCATACTAACGGTTTTTTTTACTCTTGTGACTATATCAACCAACCGATTTAATTTTTCATTCGCTTGTTTGAAAGATCATTTAATTGTCCAACTTTTTCCCAGAGACACCTATACTTTATGTTTTATTGTTTAGTTGATGTGATAACTTTAAAAAATTTTGCAAACTGGCCGGTTCGCCCCATCCCCTGCACGGAGAAAATTTATTCCTGAAATTTTACTGAATTTAGTTCGGTAAAACTGGGATGAAGTGTCAAAACAGTAATTTTTCAAGAACTAGCCTGTAAAAGAAATTGCATTGAAAAATAATGTAAAAATCATAAAGCTCACGATATATGTATTAGCGCTTCACTTACAGTTCGGTAAAACGTAAGCCAAGTGCTCGCTACATTCATATTTATTGAATAGTTCGGTAAAACGTAAGATAAAGTCTTCGGTAAAACTGACGAGTTGCAATTTATTGAATAGTTCGGTAAAACGTAAGTTAAAGTCTTCGGTAAAACTGACGAGTTGCAATTTACTGAAAGTTCGGTAAAACTTGAAGAACAAAAATAAAAAAAAATGTTACTTCAGTAGATCTATATTAATACTGCCGTAACTCTCAATTTACCTACTTTAATCACTACCTAAACCCCCTACAATTGTTTACGAACAAATACTAATTGATACACCTGCCTACAGTACATTCTAAACGCATACACTAATACACACATCGCACGCTTTACATTAATGCTTCAGGAAGTTTCAACTGTCCTTATATATTAATCTCAATTTTATTTCACCGCTTGTGAGAAAGATTCAAATTAATAAACTATCGTTGTACAAAATTAAAAATTATTTATATTAATGAATCATTTCTAACTATATTCAAGGTCAATTTATGAAATATTTTTTAATTACGTTTTTATTAATATAAAGAAAAATGTTTAAATTTGTATTTAATGGAATAAAACAATAATATATAAAAATCCTTATTATTCTTAAATTTTTGTGTTTAAAATTAAAAATATACATATTAAAAGTGCAAGTTGGAAATTATTAAATTAATTAATAGAAAATTAATCTTTCTGAAATATTAAATAATAATTGTGAGGTATTAAAAAGCGAAAAGGAAATAAGCAAGTAAGCAAATAAAGAATAAAGTAAGCAAGAAGGAAATAAGCAAGTAAGAAAGTAAGCAAAAAAGAAAGTAAGTAATCAAGAAGGAAAAAAAAGTAAGCAAGTAAGCAAAGTAAGCAAGAAGGAAATAATAAAGTAAGCAAGTAAGCCTATAAGGAAGTAAGTAAGCAGAAAGGAAACAAGCAAGTAAGCAAGAAGGAAATTAGAAAGTAATCAAATAAGTAGGTAAGCAAGTAAGCAAAGTAAGCAAGAAAGAAATAAGAAAGTAAGCAAGTAAGCATATAAGGAAGTAAGTAAGCAGAAAGGAAACAAGCAAGTAAGCAAGAAGGAAATTAGGAAGTAAGCAAATAAGTAAGTAAGCAAGTAAGCAAAAAAGAAATAAGCAAGTAAGTATGCAAATAAGAAAGTAAGCTAGTAAGCAAGCAAGTTATTTCCTTTTTGCTTACTTGCTTACCTACTTATTTACTTACTTACATACTTACTTATATGTTTAATTGCTTACTTATTTATTTCCTTTTTGCTTACTTACTTATGTTTATTTGCTTACTTACTTACTATTATTCATATTTAATTAAAATGAATAAATTATATGTTAAAAAAATAAGTATGTTATTGTTATTTTATATTTTCTTTTTACTTGATTTAAAAGCATTTATTACATATTTGGCAATTAATAAGTGTTTAAAATAATTAATTGAATTTTAATTTAAATAATAATAAAATGATTATTAATTAAGTCTAAATAAGTTGGAAAAATCAACTATTAGTGTGAAAGTCTTTCATTCGACTGCGGGACACTTGAAATAAAGTATTTCAATCCAGAAAACTAAAACTTTAGGCAAGTCAAGGAAGTTTTACCGAACTATTCCTGAAAACGAACACTTTAGGCAAGTCAAGAAAGTTTTACCGAACTATTCCTGAAACGTTAGTGCCCATCAAGGAGGTATTTATTTAATTTACATTAAACGTTCAGGTTCAATTTTTTTTCAACTTTTACAGTACTAGTTCTTAAGGAATAAAGATATCACATTAGATTTTAAATATTGTTACCGAAAAAATAATATAAAAATTATTAAAAATTACGATTATGCTACTATATCCCAAGTTTATTGAAAAATTCGGTAAAATGTAAGGAACAAATTTTCTCCGTGTGGAGTAAACTGGCCATTTAGGTTTTTTATCTATAAAATTGCATTTGTATAATCTACAATAACAACAAACATAAATAATTATGTGAACAATGGTTGTAGTAATGTAAATAATAATAATACAGGATTGAATTTTAATGAAATAAATATTTTTTTAAATAACAAATCAAAAATGTTTTATATTATCACGGAAACAATATTAAAGGGTCTAATTATCATTGTAAGATAATTATTTTTCATTGAAAATAAAAATTTTAAGGGGAGTTTCCCATTGCGGAAGGCAAAAAAATTGATTTCTTTCTCTTGTATTTTTTGAAATGGGAGAGATGGCCAGTTCAAATATTTGACAGAATTTGTAAATAAATATCACTTATTATGGGTTATTTTTTAAGCTTTTGTGACTACTAATAAATGTAAACAACAAATTGTTGAAAAATAATGAAAATGTAAGCGTAATCCTTCTATATTTTTTTGGCATGGGTCCAAAATAATTTGAGAATTTCAGATTTCTTACTGCTACATTATTATAACCCACGCTTTGATATAAACAAAAAAGGAATGGAAAAATTATTTTATTTATTTAATACAACATCAAAATGTTTACTTTTGTCATGTATTTTTGGGTGAGATGGCCATTAATGACTTCTATGTAAAATTTTTTATGTTAATGTTTGATACTTAAGGAATGTTGAAGAAAAAAAATTAAAAATGTCTGAGAACAAAATAATTCATCTAATTGACACTAGAGATAAAGATATATTTGTAGGTTGAGTCGAAAGTTACAATCAAACGACATTGATTGAAGATTGGATTCAATGCAGTATTTAAAATTTTTGGCTACATAAAAACTGCACTGAATCCCATAATAAATGTTCAGAATGTGACCAGAATAAGAGAAAAGTAATTTGAACGATTAAAAATTAAGTTTAAACTAAAAGTATAACTGTATAAAATTATAAGTATTGGCCATCTCTCCCGCATTCATGTGGTAATCTCTCTCGGATATTCCAGGAGAGATGGCTAAATGCACTTTTTACAATATGTAAATGTTGAAATTGTTCTTATGAAAATATTTTATTTTTCGTTACTTTAAAGTTAAGGTAATTAGCGGACTAATTTCGGATTATTTCGTATTTGTTTCGGATTATGCCTTTTAATTGGATTAAATCCGAATTGTTGCAGACAATTTTCGGATTCTTAGCATACAGATTTCGGATGCTTTCGGATTATGTCTTTCAAATGGATTAAATCCCAATTGTTGCAGACAATTTTCGGATTCGTTGCATACAGCTTTCAGATTGTTTCGTACTTGTTTCGGAATAGGATTTTGCCACACTTAATTTCAAATAGTTGCGGTCTAATATCCGATTTCTTGCTTACAACAGTCAAAGTTTGTGTTGATTTTGGTCTCCGCAATGAGAACCTCCCCTTAATGAAAGAAACATTCCAATTAATAATAATTTTCGTAAAACTCTGATAGGGTAGTGGCACCAGTGAAAGAACATTTAAGGAAATGTCTAATGTATACTTTCGATATTTTTTACTTTTAATTGACATTCTTGAATTTCGTTTAAAACATATGCAATGAATAGCAAAATTTCTAAAGAATTTGAAGTCTATGATACAAATTTTATAAATATAACATAATATATCAAATTTTAATGAAATATTTATTTTAATTGCACCTGAAACTTGTAACCTTTTTTCTGTTTATGCTTCGTTCATTTGTCATATGCATAACTCACCAAAAAATTAAAAATTATTTTCAGAAATAACTTGCATATTGAATCTAATTTTTATCATAAACTATATTTTGAAGAAATAAGGAACTAAAAAATATTTTTTTTATAGTGCTAAATATTCTAATTTGTGAAATATCGTAATAAATAATCAATTAGTTCTTTTACTGGTGTAAATTCTTGCACTTGTGCAACTAACCTACAATGAAAATATCCTATGGCCGGTTTGCCCCACAGGCCCATTTTGACAGAATATTTGGAAATATTACGCGATTTCCTCAGAATTTCCTTAAGAATAAGTTCGTAAAAGTGTATAACGGAACTATGAAAAAAAACTTTTACTCCCAGCGCTGCACAATTAAAAGTTTGCCCCACTCTCCCCTATATTTTACAACATTAATATTTTTTTACAATATTAAATAAAGAGCTAAATGAAATAAGGATCTAAGAAATTACTGCTTTTTCTATTCATATTTATTACTATTATCGCTGCAATATATAAATTCAGAATTTTTCAATCCACATTTCAAGATGGTTCAAGAAAACTTTGTCAAGAAAACATATTTTACAAAATTTTTAAAAAACATGTATCACTTTTACCTGAACCTATATCCTTAATATGAAACGAGTCCTTAATATGAAACGAGTAGATATGCAAATTAGGTAAAGAGAGACATTCTTATTTATATTGCCTTTAGAGAAAGAGAGAAACCAGAGCCGGCGTTACTGGCGCCGTTACTCAGACGTTACCTTTTGTGTTTCAATTATAAAAGTATATATATATATATATATATATTGACTTTTATCTATAGTTTTCCTTGCGATGAAGGAAGAAAGAAAATATCATTACCTGGGTCCCTCATTTACAAAGGCTATTGTTCAAGGGTTCGTATTGCTTGTGGTAATCCTTCGTAGGGTCTAATACAGATATATATATATATATATATATATTGGCCTCAGAATCAAACTACGAGTGCGAAAAGGACACTCATGCTTAGGGCCGCTAGCACCTAAATATAAGAACGAATATTTTTTTTTTAATTTAAAAATCATATCGTAGATTATTTTCCTTGGGACACGTTCTACGTGTCTTCAACAAAAATTAAATTAAAAAATCTTTATTATTCACTGGTGAATTCACTCACTATATATGTGAGTGAATATAAAGTTAAATAAGTCAATTATTAGTGAATACTTCGTGAATTAGTAAATAGAACGTATTAGTGAATATAATTAGTAATAATAAGTGAATAGTAAATAATAATAAAATTACATTAAGATACTGTTTTCTAATTTTTTTAATCATTAAATA